ACTGACATTCAAAATACTACTTGTCATGATACCGCATACTTGTAGATCATACGAACAAGTTTTTGGTACCATTGTTGGAGACTATAGTTTCTTTTAAATTTAGCTTTAATTCGTATTCTACTTTTTTATTGTAGTTTTGGATTCTTCTTTTCAAAATTACTGTATTTCATTCTTTCTTTTTTCATTTCTTACTTTATAATTCGAGGCATGGTGATTCTTCCCCTTTAGCCAGATATTGAATGCACACATGAACAAGCCATTTAACTCGCTGTAATTTCTGAGAATGATCTGTTAGTTGGGGAATTTATGATTACACAAGTGATAAAAAGTCAATCAATATTTCTAGTTGGTGATTTTGAGATTACCCCGGGTCAAATATTTATATGCATGATTACTTCTAGCCATCCTAAAGTCGATTCATCATCTAACAGGTCGATAAAATAAAAGACTGTCTGAGAGACATATGCTTTTATTGAAGAATGGTTAGAACGAGTGTATGTGGCCATTTGATATGGAAATCACGAGGGGAACAACAATGCTGACATCGTTCCAATATTATTCACTGAAAGGGAAGCCATAACAAAGGAAACAGATAACCCTACTCAGACCATCAGCACATTAGACAATACTAGTCCAATTTATGAAGCTGTGGAGACGTGTTAAAACTTGGGTCCATCTTAATAAGGTCAACATTTTAAGTGGAAAAGCCCAATATCTTTATAAATTGGTATTTATTTCGGTGTTTAACCAATGTGGGATTTTTATCTCTTAACACGTCCTCGCAAGATGGTGGCTCGTTTGAGCAGACAAATCTTGCAATCCATTGCTCCATTAATTGAGACTTATAATTGGATTGAATCGTTCGTTGGAGTTTAATGGGCTTTGATACCATGTTAAAATTTGGTGTCCATCTTAATAAGGTCAACATTTTAAGTGGAGAAGCCCAATATCTTTATAAATTGATATTTATTTCGGTATTTAACCGATGTGGAATTTTTATCTCTTAACAAGACGAACCATCGAACTTCATATTGTCCATTGACTGCCACTTTCATATAATTTTCAGGTGATAATTTATGTACAAAACTTCTAGTTCTAGCAGAAAATCCTTACTCCAGTACCTACAACCCAATTCGAACCAACATCACTGTAACTTTTCTTGGAATTATGAACAAAACCATACACAGCAGCCACTTCTTTATTTTCCATAACATGACAAGAAATCCTGTTTGGAAGACATTTTAGGTCATTCATAAAAAGAACTAACCAATATATGCACAAGACAAATCAATTCATGGCAAAAGGAGACTCAAGCTTTCAGAATCACTCAGCAACTATAAAAATATTGAGAATCGAACAGAACAGTTAGTGTTGGATTTTGATACATAATGAATCCCATGCTATGATGTATACCTCATATTGAATTTTATAAGCATTGATCAATGAGTGAAATTGTTACGAACCACCAAATCCAAAGGCTCGACCCGAAAACGTGGATCATTGAAAGTGGCTTTAGAAATTAATGTCACTCAAGGCCCATATATATTACATCTTGGATGGCTTTGAATCTTAGCCCATTTAATCTTATTATTGGCCCAACAAAAGCCTAACCTAACCCTACATATACCATGAAAACACTATGCTACATGATAGATTGACTCTTGCCAAATTTACAATGGGACCACCCAAACACACCTATTCTAGAAACACGGCCTGACCAACACTATTCAGTAGATATCCAGGCTTAACCTAGTTCTCATTTGACACGATTTCTAAAATGAAAATTCACAATAATCTCACTTTACTCAGTTATGGCTCTGATACCAAATAGGGCCAAGTGATACTGATAGAGAAGAGTGAATATTAAGAAACACTTTGAAAAAGAAAAAAAATATGATTTTATTGAAAATTAAAATTGATAGCACAAGATTGAAATTACAAAATTGACCAAATAAGATCGAAAGATTAAATGTTAAAAACTAATACATGGTTACTGAACTTTTCTTGAAGAGGTTTTCTCTCCCGCTAAAGCACACTTGAGGAGAACTTGAAGCTTTGAACTCCTTATATACGAGTCTTCGAACTTGAAATGTTCCTTGAATTCTGTTGAAAAATTTTGAAGGAAAATAATTATAACAATATCTATCTTTGCTATAGTCTTTTGTCTGCCATAATTTTGAAACTTTTGTTGTCTTCTCCCATCCTTTTAAATAATGGGAATCTCCTTTGATAAAGTTACTTTATTAAAGTTTTATCTTATTTTGAGTATCGATAATGTTGGCAATAATAATTTTTGAGGCGACAAGCACATTCAATAGAGAATATCTTTTTACTTATGAGCCCGATATTTTTCATATTCATCTAAATAAATGTGTCTATATAGTCATTTTGAAACCTTTTAAGTCTCTTCTTCAACAATAAGTTCATCCCTGTCTATCCCATAGCTATCTTGTACATGGCTTGATTTCTTTGAAGTAGATTCTGTCGAAGAAGCAACTTTTCAGAAATAATTGCTAATTCTTCTAGCATTTTGAATTGATTGAACATTGCCAACAATTATGATTTTTCTATAAGAAAATCGACAATCGGCAGAATCTATTTCAAAG